AGGAAGGAAGACGGCAATGACCAGCGCAGCTGATCATGGGTCAACATGATCAACATGGGGGACTTAGAAACCCTCCAATCTGTTGGTACATAGCTTGGGCATGCGACTCCCATGTACTCCTAGTAAAACGGATGACAAATTCTTGGATCTTGCCAGATCTTGATGTCCAACTACGCACGGAAGCCCCAGTTGCTTTTATGGGGTGAAGCTGGATCGATAAAACTAAACGCCCCAAGGACTGCAAGAATGCAAATTCAATTGCAAACGTCAAACGTGAACTCCGAGACTGCATAACGAACATCAGACTTAAATTAATTCGTCTTCAGCTAAGGCACACAGTTAATATGATGGACAGCATCACTCAATTAGAATTGACGAAAGTTACTGCAATATGTTGTCCAGTTTCAATAGCACAAAATAAATCATGAGACGTGCGCCAAACCAAAATCAGGACCCTACAGTTGCTTACGCTCAACCGGTCAGTTGATAAAGCAAAACAGAATTATTCTTTCAGTTTATTCAACCATCAGCGGGTTTCTTGAAAACAATTGCCTCGCATAGTCATTACCAGATTTCCAGCTTAAGGTATTGTCAGCGCTCACTACTATTCTACTTAAGTGGCACTGTTTTGAACAATAGATGCAACTGGTAGATGCCAAACTGGTCACATAAAATGCATCATGGGCAATGCGGACTATATATCGGTGAGAAGGCCAAAACATGTGCCGATAGCACGATGCGAGCTGCAAGTTCCTAGTGGACACTTCGTCCTGTAAATGAAATCAATCCTCACCGAAAGACGCTGTACAGCACCGCTTACTGTTTCGTCCTTGTTGGAAATCAACATCATCATGACTCCACTGGCAGATTCAAACGCTCGAATTCCTGGTTATTAGTTGATGACTAAATCGTTCGGCCACGGGTGGCTGATCAGCAGTGTGATTAACTCACACTTCATCGTTTGATCAGGCATTTCACATCACGAACTGACTGGCTTCTCGACTGACGGCTTCTAAAAAATGGAAGGTTCACACGTCGTGTGAACTGTTCGTTCCTCCGAGCTTCTTATAGACTGTAGAACGCGATATGAAAATGTTCAGTCGATTCTGTGTCCCATGAGTGGAGTCAGTTTGTGTGAAAACGTCAAGAAGCCCTGTCCAGCTGCAAAGTCATCAGTTAAAAAGTCAGGCAACATGTGACCAGGGGATGTGAACTGCGTGTTTGATGGATAGATGGATGGATGGATTGTTCTATATTCCATCTAGGTAGAAGTCATCCGCAGTGCTCATCAGCCGCTCGTGACCGAACGGTTAAGTGTTCAAACCAAAAGTCGGAAGTTCATAAGACCGCGATAATTCCCAACAAGGGTGAAGCGGCTGGACAGTGCTCTTCGGTACAGACTGACTTCACTTACAGGAAGAAAGCTCACTCAAAACTGTTGCACTCGGAAAGATAAAGTGACTAAGTGGTTCATCTACTATGTTCAGTCAGCAGTAGTATTTCACTTCTCTAATCATGCAGGCTAAGAGCAGTGGCAGCGTTTGACATCCCTGGCAAGGTTGAATGCTCGAATACGCGGATGAGAACGACGTAGGTGACCAAGTAACCCGCAAGTTTTAAACAGTGGACAGCTGCACACTCCACACAAGAAGGACTTGAGAACTGGTTGAATCAGAGCGAACGAATTTCATCAACCTAACGGTGTACCCCATCAACAGACCGCCAAACTGAACGGAAGCGTTGAAGATCGCCACAAAAAGAGCTGCTACGCCGCTCAGGTCCACAGTGGCGATTGATTAGGGGAAACGATATTGCATTAAGCACAATCCAGAATGACCGCTTCGCTAAATCAATACTAGTGGATACGGAGACCTGAGGTACACACCTACTGAGAAGCTTCTAGCATATTCACCTGGGATTTTTGCATTTAATTGTGGTTGTCCAAATTGAAGACAATAGTCGGCAGATGGTTTTCGGTCATCTTTAGAAGGTCACAGGAAATCTGCAGTTTTGAGGTCATCAATAAAGCTACACGACGGGCGATTTCAGTTCGAGTGGAATTTTCAAACTTTCCCCCATCGAATGTTTTAGAGCGAGCTTACCACAATTAAGCCTTGCCCGAGTTTGCGCAAAAACGCATTTCAACACGGCCAAATGAAGTTAAAATTGATCGTTGTTTTTACCAGATACAGAACAAGTTGCATCGCTACGCTCCACGGCCTCACAACACCACGTGTTCCAGCCCTCGTTCGTTGTGCACCGTGGCTGTGCTCTTGAGCAATCGCGTAGAAACGCACAGGCACATTTCTGGTTTGCGGTGTTGCCCGAACAAACCACTCCGATATGGATGACTGGCCAACGAACATCCATCGTGATGCCGTGAGTCGATACGGTACAGGACATCTGTTTCCGGTGAAGTGCAATGCCAGTTAAATAGACCCCGCTTTACAGCAACGTTTACTGGGCTGTGGCAAATAACCAATCGTATGTGCGCATCCAAAAACGAAGAGTGTTAATGCACCGTTGTGATCGTGCACCGCAGGTGTCACCAACAAGGTGCGACGTAACTGGGTTGTGAAAAGCCTCCGGGACATCCTCTAATGAAAACAAGAAAGCCAGTATGTACCACGGTTCAATTAGTTTGTAGCACCTGTTCAAGGAGGTATAATAACTACCTCAAATGTGCTTAGAAATCGCGAACTTTCCACTCGAGGTGTACTAGTTTCACATTAAAAATACATGACGGAGGAAAGCATGTGTGCAATGTTTTATTCTGTTCTGCGCTCGGTGTCTGTCTACGACCGGTAGTGAGAGGCTTGAATTCTCCGAACACCCACAAAGCCATATTGGTATCCTTCAATAATAGTGAGACTTATCGTGGTAAATACAGAAGATTTGAACACTGTGCAAGTTACGGCTTAATTATGCCAATGTGGTGCTATCCTCATTCATTATTTCCACATTGTTGTGCTCGGTTCAATCTGCTAGGTAAACTGATCTACGGTATTGGGTACTCTACCCCGTCCTTGGGAGGTTGAGACCCTCATTATTTCCACATTGTTGTGCTCGGTTCAATCTGCTAGGTAAACTGATCTACGGTATTGGGTACTCTACCCCGTCCTTCCCAGGGAGGTTGAAGTTGAGCCAAATTTGATCCCCATGGTTGCCATGGGACAGACTTTAATTTGATCGTTATGGTAGCTCTGGGCCGGTTTGTTGATGAACTTCACGAGTTTTCATAAAGGAAACTACTCACAAGGTTGCTGAAAACTCTTCGACAGGCCATAACCGGTTTCGCCCTTCCTGAGGCTCATCAGGTAGGCGCAGTATCCGAGTTTCCGTAAACCTCATGTTCTACTTGAACCCAAATTGCACTGTTCTCGAGAAATACACTCACTTGCAAATCTATTTGGTTTTCATGAGAGGCACAACTGAATCTCTCGTTTATGATTTCCTACAACTGAATTTGCTGCACACAGGCCGCCTCATGTTTCACTTGGCACGATATTCGAGATATCGCAGTATATTTTCATAAAGGAAACTACTCACAAGGTTGCTGAAAACTCTTCGACAGCCCACGACTGAAACATGAGGAGGCCTGTGTGCAGCACTTTCAGTTGTAGAATACCATAAACGAGAGATTCAGTTGAGTCTCTCGTGAAAACCAAATTGATTCGCAAACGAGTGTATTTCTCGAGAACTTCACGAGTTCCTCAAACGACCTGTAAGCCGTCCGATAACAGAGCCCCTGGTGTGAAAGATTCTGGCGGGTCCGTAAAGACCACAGATTCCACAGAACCCAGTGGAATCAATCTAAATAGATACGTAGATTCGAGATATATTTCATCCTGAGGAATTCCCGGTGCCTTAGTTTGCCAACAACCATGTAGGATTTTGTAGCTGTCGGCTGAGAAAGTAATTTTCTTAGACGTATACGAAAAGTACCGTGTGGTTGCCTTCAGAGAGAATCCACGGTAACCATGACTTAGAAGCTGCTCGGAATCTAGCACAACGAGGGATTTGGTTCTTCAACAGCGTCGAAAATGCATGGGCTAAGATGCCGACTTCACTCACGGAATAGGATTTTACTTCCGGAATCGAAAAGGTTAAAGGAAGATTTATGGTAGTAACCCATCAAGCTACCAAGATGAAACACACACACATCACATCGAACGAACAGGGGGCACGTATGAATGGGACGATGAACGGAGTCATACCTGAGATGGGATCGATGCGGGTGGCTCGATACGTATCGATGGATCCCATTCTCCAGGAGGTAGAACAGTGGCAGCGCTTAGAAATTCATCCAATCCGGCCAAGAAGTCCGCGCGAGATTTCGCCTTGTATGCCACATCATGGAATACCTATGGGGAAGAGGGGAAGAAGAGCCAGGCGTCATAGACTGAAGTCTATAGAAGTAAAAAAGCGTCCACCACACAGGAGAGCCGCAGTCAAACGACAAATTTGTGGTGTGAAGTAAAGCCGCTGCTTGTGGAGATATCGCCATCAGAAACCGATCAAACATTGACCATTCTAGAAAGTGAGGCAGGGCAGTCACACCTCGGGATAGCACATCCAAACAGGGACAGCTTCATGCACAACCAAACCAGAGGAGTACGCATGATGCCTGTGATCGGTATAAATTTTACTTGGAATCAAATGCGACAAAACCAGTTATCACACATTCAGGGCCATCTCACGTCACACATTTGCGGTTGAGTTCCACACTGATTCGTCACACTTCTGTCCAATGGAATTAATGCCTGATGATTATCAGTACGAGAGTTCGAACTGTGGCGAACTGGGGCCAGATCAACGCAAACGAAATCGGGGCGCAAAAAGTCAACATTGGACAATGAATATTAGGCATCGATTGATATCTATTGATCACAAACCAGGGAGAACTCTTGTCCCCTTTTATTTACTTCAATCCACATCGTGGAAAAGCAATGTCGTGCACCTGTCAGTCAGCCTAACGAGTACGCATCATTTGAGAGACAACATAAAATAACCAGGGTTTCATGTCGTCTCAAACAAAGTTTAATACAGATAAACAGTTCATCCTGACCGAATCCAGCCAGGTGAGAAATAGGTTTTTCCAAACACAGCAAAGTTCATTTGTTATCTAGTGGCTCGGGTAATACTCACATGAAAAGAGTGCGGAACGGGAATGGTATTTATTTTGAAGGAAGCAGGTGCAAAGAAACTTATACGACGTAATGCGCTCCTTCGAAAATTAGGTACACGTAACCACCAGCTGATACAGACGTCAACAAGAAGCATTTTCGGTCTAGCTCAATCATAACAGAAGCCATTAGGGCAGCATGAGCCTTCAATAAAGTGAAGGTTGTGACAACACATCAGGATAAGTGACACACCCCTTGGGGACAGATCGCTAGCTTGTGTCCTAAGCAACGACAGTGGATGAGCTCAATCATGTAATGTGGAACACATCACTTCTATGGAATAGTGTGACTTATCGTGTCTATCCCTATCGTACAACAACAACAAACTGATATAGATAGAATACGGTCAGTCTGATAGGAACATAGTTTAACGAGAAACTGACAGTATCACTTGCAATCTATCCTTCGGCCGAGAATTGTGCAAATTTTTTGGAACAGGTCCGGGAAAACTTGGTGGTACTACATCTGGGACAGACCCGTAATCAAAAATTCTGCTGGTTTCCTACTTTTTCCAAAATAAACATGGGGATTCAATCCAATGAAGTGTGGGGAAACATAACGACGACAAAACCAGGATTCAAATATGGGTTAACCTTGACCATGATGTGACCTGCGACAAGGACGTCACCAACACTCAATTACGCCTACCAGCGCTTTTGGCCGCTGCTTTTCCCAGCGAGCGAAGTAATTGGGTTAGAGGTAGCAATATTACCATGGCTACCAGCTACAGGTGTGAAAGTACTGGCTGGCTGATATGTAGCAAAACCCACCCTGGTATGTTAACGCCACAACACCGGAAAGCGCCGGCGTTCCGGAGGTGCACGCCCTCATCAGTACATAGCATGAGAATGACTGCAGCCGATCGATCGCAGTCCCACCCATTGTTTTGGCCCGTGTTCCGAACCTCCAAAACCCAATCACATACTGGAAGCAAGTACACATCCGTAAAAAAAACTTGGTACTGCCGGAACCCTGCCACAGTCGTTCTTGCATCTATCGAAAGGATTTCCTTTAAATTGGCCGAATGTTAGCTGAAAGATACACGAACTCGGAATACATTCCATAACGGTCGACAGACTGCCTTACTGATGGAGAGATGAATGAATCGAATGTTCGAAACTGTACATCTAATAAAGAACCGATTTCTTCAGAGTTCAATGGGCAATACACATCATGTTAGCATGCTCTAGAAGGTGCGAAAAAATGTGGAAACTCAGTGGACATTCCGAAAGACAGGTCCCTTTATCGAAGAATTGTCTGAAAATTCGCCGGCAATGACGAACAAAAAGAACTGTTTGTCCCATCCAGCAGTATACCTTAGAGACAAAGGCTTAAAGATGAATAGAATGAGTGAAGCGACCAGGATGGAATGTGCGTGGTTAATCTGGATCAGTATATCATATAGACTCAAAGTCTGTCTAGACAGGGACCATAAGGCAAAGTTGTGAAATTGTTCAACAGGTTAAGGAGCTAGAATGAAAGAAGCACAGAATGACTTCCATCCTCGATTCACAACCACAAACAAGTGGACCATGTCTTTTGAACTTGGCTCGAAAGTACTCGGCCTATAGACTGAATGATATCGGCCGACTCGAGTTGGAAACTCAGAATTTCCCCGCCCCCATTCCCCGTTACGTCGTCAGAGTAAACATTTTGGAAAAAACGGGAGCATATGTTAACAACATGGAGCAGAGCTATGAAACGCGGAACATGCTACCTATCTTACGCAGAAAAGAATTCACGTGTAGATCACTTCAATGGCACCCGCTTACTAGGGATTGGTTTTCTTCCTTTGAACAATAGATAAGAGAGGATAAGAGGCATGCGCAACCCCGAAACTTATGGTCCTATTTGGAAATTCGTGTAAGCAACGATTACAAAGCACGCTTGAAGTTCTTATTCGGAGTTAGCAAGACAGTCATATCGGTAGGATCACCGGTGAAACAAGACTATTGTACCTTACTGGTTTGTACTAAACGTACAAGCAAGCGACTCTGCCTAACTGGAGAGATCAACTGCCCCACAACAACACAGCCGCAGACGTTGCGGCGGGAGAGGGGCATTTCCATTAGACACAACGCCCAGATTCCCCACCGACGTACCAATGTCACTGTCTTTGACTGGCCGGGTCTAAACGAGACTGTCGTAGTGGAGGACGACACCGAACGAACAAAGGAAATGCTTTCACAGGTATCCCGCACGATTAATCGATGTGCTCCTGAAGCTGCGAAAATCTCGGAGCAATCTAGGCATTCACGCAACGTCTTGTATCAAGGATTATATTTTTATATGCACACCAAGGAAAGCTTGGCTAACATCGGTTAGTTAGTTCTCCGGAAAAAATAGCGCACGACCGCAGTACATTCAGATAGACCCACTTTCTCGACCAAGTGATGTTGGTCCTCCGGGCTGTCAAGTCATCCAGTTTAAGGTAGAGTTTGGGTCACTGATAGTCCAGGAAGTATATTTTACGTTTTCTTCAAAACCCGATTCGCGAGATTTCGAAAATACATAAATGGTCATGATAACGCGCTATTTCAAACCACCTCATACAACCGCCTTGACAGACAGCCATTGTCTCACACTTTCGTGGATGGATCAAAAGAGTTCGTTCTGACTGTTTCGCTGTCTAAAACAAAAAAAACCCAACTTGACCCGTAGAATTTTTACTGTTACACAAGAAACTTTGTTCCACAACACAGCCACGGACCCCTGACTAAAAGAGACGAAAGATCTCTAATGGCCCCCACTAGTAAGCAAATTCCTCATTTTATGCAAATCACTTTTCAAGAGCATCTAACGCGTAAGATTATTCAATAATTCTACGATTCGGATAGCTTCACGCGCTCAGGCCGATTCAGGTCAGTGTATTATTGTACATGGATTGATCCTCAGAGGCCATCACCGTGTGGCTGGGGAGTTTGACCGTTTAGGCCTATCACATCTAATCTCGTTAGGTTTCTTCGTCTCTAGTGATAACGAAGATGTACCAGGAGAATGGGTTGTGGGTTAAGAGACGATGATTGGTCATTTTACAAAACAGCCTTATTTACTTATGGACCTGAATGCGTTTAGTTGTTTGTTTCGCTAACCAGATTGCAACCGATGCACACACATCAGCTTCGACGTGGCTCGGAAATGCTGCTCGCATGAATAAATGTCAACAAGATTACTGGAACAAAAACAACAACTCGGTTATCTCTGCATCCGCAATCCGAATGAATGATTTGACCGATCAGTCAGGAGAGTGATGATTTTAAGTAAATCAAATGAAAGCCAGTCAACCGATAGGTGTTGTGTTTGACGTTTTGATTTCGACTGAGACCAAGGGGTAAACCTATGCGACAAAGTGGTGGTTGATGGTCACTCATGAAGCAGCTATGCTGGAAGAACTGTCGCACCGAAAGTCATTTCTTGCTTGCCCGGTTGTCGGAATACCATTCAGAAAGCCAAGTTGTGGGGTGAACACGCACAGGGGAATGTATAAAAAGCTCAGGAATGATCCTGTTCCCTCAAACATGGGTTTATGGAAAATGTATTTTTGAATAATTCTCAGACTATTAGGAATTGGGCTACGGAACGGACGATGGCGGAGTCTCCTATAACCACCCCAAATTGAAAGTACAAAATGTTTTCACCGACTAAGCTCGAAACAGTTGATGAGATAAATTGTGCGTCAAACTCCGATGGCATGAATGATATGCAAGGAGAGACGAAAGGGGGAGGAAATCTGTCTGCTATCAAATGGGCCGTGGAAATTATCGAACCGTACGAAAGTTCGTACTCGGTGACAATATTGATAGTTCATCCGGCTTGTACATCTATGAACAGTTCAGACAAACGATCGATAAGATGTTTTCAGCAGGTTTTCTGCCACCTGTTACCAACTGGTGCAAAATGAATCCTAAAACGAGTGAAGATATCATCCGTTCATGTTGTACTTCTCAACAAGAAAGCATTTTGAAACTCTTCAGTTATTCCTTTTGATGAAGAGGTCAATGAAGTAGTGGAAAACGAAGTGTTTGTAACTGTGGAAAAATTGACGACAGTATTGAATTAGACGAAAAATATGTTCTGGTTTGACAGGGAGTGAAAGAAGACGAAACAGTGTGTTGCTGACGTCGTGCATTTAGCCTTAACGAGACCCAGTCGATCACGTTCGACGTTTTCCATGGTTCCGTCGGATGATTCGTTCAAGGGACGAAGGTTGCTCGAAGATTCGCTCAAAAAGGGTTATTCGGCTTTACTCACTAAATCGTCCCAGTTTGTAACCGACTACTTTCCCGCAACATAACCAAATCGGTTCCTCCTTTTGTCTCCTAGAAGGATAACAGCATTGACCGACATACGGACAGCGACAATGCTAAGTTGCCAACCAGACTTGTCCAGACCGGTCTGACGGCTGGTCGATATTGAAACGGCAAGCGCCAAAAAATATGGTTCCGCAGAAAATGGACAAACGGAAGTTACGCGGTTGTTCAGAAGACAACCGAGCGAATAAGTGCGGCGCATGCAGTATGGTTTGCGCAGTGAATTAAGACGTGCCTACGTCGTGATCGCTCACACAAAAATGTCGAGAGACATACCAATGATGAAAACAACCGGCCCCACATAGATTGAACGCGTTTGTGCCTAGGAAATTAGTAGTCTCTCCGAATTGCACCCATGATGGAGGATACCGCGAGTTACACGTACAACTCGCCTACTAACAACTCAGTAAGTATTGCGTAACGCCAGAGCATTCGTGCGTATAGCTTACCTCACAAGGAAATCGCAAATATCGCGTCGTAACGACGAAGGTAACCCTGGGGGCAGTGCCAACTTATCAACAAGCTTCCTTACAGAAATAACAAGAAAATTTAACAGACAATGCAAGCGTCTACACATACAAATACTAGCGACTTAAATGGCACGACTTGGCTACACACCGCTGTCTTTCAGAGGACATCGCACAACCTCATTGGGAATGAGACTTTGGGAGAAGCTAAGCACTGACAACAATGAGAACAATGGAACAAACCAGCATCTGAAAATAACTTACGTCATCGGACATTAGCACACCCATTGAACGTCCAATCTCCCGATACTTGGCTGCATGTCCCAAAACCCCGAGATGGATGAACAGGAAACGAGTGGGGACGGGAACTTCAGTCAGGTCACCGAGAAGCACGGCTTCACGGAGACGAATAAAGACGGTGATGGGCGCGGGTAGGAAAGTTGTCTCACCAACAAGAATATTTGAGGTTTCCGAACCGGGAGGGACTTTTTTGAGGAAATGTAGATCGTACTACGAAACGGGAGGGATGGTGATGGTGATGATGGGCGTCGAAAGAATCAGCTGTGAAAATTGTAGATACTAAATGAATAACGTTATTGCAGCCCATTGAATGTGTAGGTAGGAAGTTCCAGTAAGCATTAACTCTCCCAGGTTTGTTGTGAATGTTGCTCGATGTGAATCCCAACTTGAAATCAGGCACAAGGTCAGGAGAGATAGACGGCCTGATGACACCGAGTTTCACCGACGTCATCAATGACACCAACCGAGGACCCATAACCGTACAACTATGCCAGATTAGTTAGATAAAGTAGTTTGGGAAGGATGGAACGAGAAAACAAAAGTAACCCGATGCCAAACTGCTGCAGGAGCTTACAAATCGATTCAGATAATCTGAATTGAAACTGATAGTGAAAGTCAACGGCATTCGCTGAAAATCATATCTCCAGTCAAACCCAGAGATCACCTGTCGTGGAAGGTGGACAGCAGGACTTCGATGTTTCCCAAATTCTGTATGAAAAACAATGTTCTCCTTGGTAGACGACAAAATGGCATGTTCAACGGACGATGGATTTATCTTAGTTGCATGCAATCCTCAAGAGAAGAACATGTACTCAAAGAAAAAGGTAGTTCCTGGCGTGTCGATTAGCTCCACCCAAAAAAGCTACTGTGGAATACCGACCGGAGTACGTCGCACACAAATCACTCGCAACTGCCAAATGCCGTTCAACAATAGATCATATACAGTAGTCCGATGCATGCGTATTTAGGACCCAATGCTGTCTTTCTGATGCAGCAAGTGGTGCCAGCCAGCAAACGCAACCCCGGCCTTTAGGATATGTGAATTGACTCCATCCCCACACAGCGAACGCAGTTAATGCAACGTCCGAGATACGCAGTGATCCACAAACTCTAGTGGTTGCTTTTGAATTCTTTTAGGGGGATGATCAAACGTAGTACGTCCGGTAGCACAGTTTTGCGCTTTGTGGGTGAGAAGAAAACGCCAGGAGGTATAATGGCCCTAGTAAAATTTTCTGGTATCGCTTGCAGACCCTCGGCTAAAATGAGAACAACATTGTCTGCATATTCCAAGTCCGAACGGAACTAAACACCACTATTTCGTTGAACCCTCTAGATTTTCATCAATGACCAGGTCCAAAAGAAGAATAAAGTCGACATCCTCGTGGGGAAACTTTCCTACGCCTAATTCCTATGAGAAACAGTATGATATTCGCCAACTTCTGAGGTATAACACTCTGCATAGACGAACGAATCAGTCAAGTCGAAATCGAATTTACTCCAGGAATCAAGGTCGTGTACACAGAGTCGTCCAGAATTATTTGCTTGGCATTTATATACTCGGTCAAATATATATATATATATATATATATATGGGGACAAAAGCAAGAATGTCATAACNTGCTTGTTATTTATACACTCGGTAAAATATATATATATATATATATATATATATATATGGGGACAAAAGCAAGAATGTCATAACTAGCAAACTCAAACACGTTGGAAACTGCTCTCTTCCTGTACACAAATCACAAGAAAGGAAGATTTGTAGTCAGAAATGTCAATAGATGTGACCCTGTTTACGCCGAGTGATTGTTTCCTTACAAGAACGAACACTCCGCACCCCATGAAGTGAGAAAAATCAGAGCCACATCAAACTGGAAAGCGTAGATCAACGTTTTCTCTGTCGGGAAACAGCTCTCTCACTCCATCAAATTCAAACTAGCAGACGGGACGCCTGTTCCTTGTTGGTTGGTAGTGGATAGTGCCATCTTTCTTTAGACATCTTTTCATTATAAAAAAATCTCGTAAGAATTGAGCATTCCCCTAGTGATACGTAAGTGATCCTGGATTTCACACAAGATTCACTGATCACCCGCACTATTACGGGTTTATTTAAATTTTCCTCCCCTTCAAACAGCTGTTGGGTTAGTAGGAAAACACCAATTGGTCGGTTTTTGCATCGTGGAAGGCAAACAAGTGATCGTTTATATTCGTAACGCACTACTCATAAGGTCGCCGAAAATTCGTCGACAGCCCAAGACTGGTTTTGCCCTTCTTGGAGCTCATCAGGTAGGCGCAGTCTCTGAGTTTCCGTCATCAATATCACACAGACAGTAGATAATTTCAACGTAAAACCGACGAGAAATTCGGTTGGCTCAGAAGGAACTGCGGTAACAAAGTTTGGTGACCTGATAAATCTACGGCGACCTGGCCGTTAGGGTCTAAAACATGTTTTGCATGTTTGTGTTGATGTCCGATCGGCCATACACAGACGCCCTAGGTGTGATCAGTACTGATCATTCGTCAACGCCCACGGACAGAAGGGCGCGAATACCAAGTCTGCTGGATGTTGATGTTCTGAAGTGGACAAAAACAACACCATGGTATGCCAAAGTAAACAAGTAAACAGAATAATTATATAAACTTCAAATGACCCGCAATGGCACGTGATTTCGACAGCCATCAGCTGGTGTGAAACGACGCAGTTCACGGAAGTAATGGTGTGTGCTGTGGTGGTAGTATCCGTTGTTATCAGGACAAGCGACACCACCACAGTTCAGGTCGCTTTCTCGAAAATATATCTCATTTACTACCGAACGTTGTGTCACAAATCCGAGATAGGCACTGTTCTACGTCCATCTCATAGCACAGTGTGTTCTACTACAAAGACCTCAGTGACTCAAGAGTAGGGTTGCAACACTACTATCATTCCCTGGAGGTATGCACTTCAGAATAGCCTAAGTACAAGCAAAAGGAAGCAAAAAGGGTAAGATAGTGTCGGACTCCCCGGGCTTAGATGGCGGAAACCGGAAGACCGAGGACTTCACATCTTAACGGCCCAAATGTCTCGAAGAGGCACAACGATAACATTCGTATAAAACATGAAGCTAACTATTTTCAACAACACTACATAAGATCTAAGCGATATGGGTTCGCTGAAGAGTTTGAACGGACAAAGAAGTTCTCTCCTGGACGGCATCAAATTATCGAATGCCAAACGGGCTATTACGGGCACCCGCAGAACTCGCAAAGTTGCCCAAAGATGAACACCAGTACCCACTGGTGACTCAAAGTCAACGTTTGTACGCCACCACGCCACAAAGAAAAATAGGATGCACCAGGTGATGTTAAAGGTGGTGGGGTGAAACACAAACAGAGATTGCTCCGACGGCCTCAAGACCATAGTTACGAACACGAAGATGATCGTTACTCAATGGAGCAGACATGCCACTAAAACTCACTTTTCCCTGAAGGCTACCAGACATCACTTCGGACGGTCCAGAAGCCTGAGCATGTGCAGCCACGTGAGCCGCCAATCCCGGATCCAGACTATCCATCCCACCGTACGTGGAGATTTTGGCCAAAGAAGTTTGGCTAGTGATCTCTGTGTAGTGTGAATCAGAGAGCGACAAAGTATACTCACAAAGCGGTATTCAGTACTACCAAAGTACTTGTATATAAGCAGTTTGAAATGACTGGCCAACCCGAAACAAAATCATACGAGATTCATCCAAAATCCGATCGGTATGATACAATGGGAAATCAAAACCAAAATGCTATGAAGTATCTCTAAGTAAACTAATTCTCGGGCAGGGTTGAGCTGAATTCCTTTTGACTGACTTTGCACTAGTGTCCTTACCGTCGATATACTTTATGAAGAACGGGGCGAGATGGACCAAGTGGTTAGAGCACGAATGGTCCATGGTTCGAACATGACCTCTGCCTCTCGCCTTCCCCTGTCTAAGCTTGGGCAACCTGACAGTATCCCAGCCCTCGTGCCTCCTTCGTGTTGCATGGCAGCTGAGCACCGAAAGGGTGCTACAGCTGAACGACCTTTTTTGTGAAGAAATAACTGAACGAAGGGCGAGGTGATGGACCAAGAAGGTGGACGTGGAACTCTCCCAGCTCTCAACATAAAACACAAATGGACCAAGCGGCACTCAGGTAATTATAGTACGACCTTACTACACAGGAGCATTCTAGTTTCAGGTTGTTCTTGGGAACTCAGTGACTGGTGGTGATTAACGCGCCACAGTGCAGCTTATTGATTTGCAAAATACGATTAAACTTGGCAGGAAGGGTGGTCGCGAGGTTCATAAATACGCCAGCTCTAAAAGTTGATGATCAGGGACTTCACCCGTCTTACTGATATCGAATGAGTCCAGTCAGTCACAGCAACCCTCAGGTTGGTTGAATCTATCATCACACATGAGGTAAACGGTTGGCGAAGAAGCAGGCCCCCGAAAAGAACAATGCTAGATTCACACTGCCCACCATTAGTTGGCTAGCCTCTCTCTCGCATACCTAGAGGAACCTCTCATATAGTTCACCGATTCCCTTTGCGAAAATACTTGCTCAGATGTGCTATGTCTGATGATGTGCTATGCTGTGTACAGGAGTACGACAGCTCTCAAACGGGTTCTTCAGCTGACTAAGACTGCCTGTTAGCAATGTTGTGGAATGTAGGTATCTCGGGTGCGCTGTTTGGTTGTTGGTCTGTTCGCCGAGCTCGGCAGTTGGATTGCAAACGTTTCGTTACCAATCGAGGTGACATCGTCAATGCAGGGTTGAGTGGGTCACCCACTCAAACCTGCACTGATGAACAGACCAACAACCAAGACTGCCTGTTCTCCCTCCTATCGGAATTTGCCATCGAACGCAGTGCAAACAGAGTTAAAGACGACTCACAGCACAGGACTTTAAACCTGACCCCAATTAGTAGATGACAACATTTAGGACCTGAAAACCGCCTTAAGTGTTGGTCGATCACTTAGAAGGAAACTTAGCAATCTTAGTGAATAGGAGGCAATAGTACTGGTACATGCCGGCTGGGTCTCTCTTTGTTGGAATAGATACGCTACTAATCATTGATAAGACTGTCCAACTGTGAAACTGTTTATCCCTTGTGGACGCGGGTGACGAGTCGCGCAGTGTGGTCGAGAAGGGGCACTATACGTCGTGTCACACAATCAACACAGTCGTGTGAACAACGCCCAGGTGTTCGCGCTAGTCTCCTTGCCAGTAGAACGTAACCCATCTTTCTAGCCTGTCCGCTTAGTTTCGGGTACCGAGGGTATCCTATTGGAAGCCAAGGCGAACCGAGCTACCCAATGCACTAAGATCTCAAAACTTCAAAAAGGTTGAACAATTGCGCGCTTCAACGCCTAAAATGAGATCGCTAGATTTAGCTGATTCTCGCCACTATCACAGTCTTCCCCATACTAGCTCGGTTATTTCGGTAATCAGAAGCGAGGTGACATGGTTCCATATCGTCAGTACTGGCATTCGCAAAGAAGGACAAATGGAGTGAAAACGAAAAAATAGCAAATTTCTGCACTAGGAGACAGAAAATACCGAAATTGCTAATGATAACAGTAATAGTACTAATAATAATCGTTCAGTTTCAACACCCTTTTAGTGCCTAGCTGCCATACTAACCGAAGGAACCACGAGGGCTGGGATACTGCAAGGTTGTTCAAGCCTAGGCAGGGGAAGGCGAGAGGCAGAGGTCGGGTTCGAACCACAGACATTCCGGTCAGTAAATTCGCACTCCACCCACTGAGCCATCTCACCGAAATTGCTACAGGAAACCAGACCAATGGTACCCAATGGAGTTGTCAAAAAGCCGTGCTATTTGACGGCAAAAATTATTAACAACCAATGTAGTTGAAATCCTCTTTGATTCGGGTTAAGCGATTGGAGACACCACTATTCCCCGCACCGACAGACAGAAAGAAGATCAACAAAAAATCTCGGGCACTTTGTTCAAAGCTAACTGGAGACAATGATGGTTGTTTCTGGCTGTTGATATTTAGATGGACCAATGTGCCTTACTGACCTTCACTTTGTAGTTGTATGCACTACAATCCAACAGTGCCTAGCTGCCTGAAAAAAGCGTGATAGCTGAGATATTGCCAGGTTGCCCAAATCTAGACAGAAAGAATCGAGAAGCTGGCCAGTAAGCCCTCACCTTATACACTAAGTCATTTGGAGCTGTATATTCACAGAGATTAGTGTGTATGATCCAACCTCGCGGAACTGGTCATGCATGCACGTCAAATATCTGAGGATCACAGCAAGACACCTGCCTTGTCGATAGAACTGTAGAACTTACGTACTTGCATCCTCTAGGCTGGTTATGCGACTAGAAAACCTATTGTTACACCCACCATTCTGCACACCTTTTGCTGTCCACAGCTCCGATACGACCAAACCATGAACAAACCATAGCCACTCAATGTGGTGATTGCTGGTAAACAAGGTGAATTGTTGCATTGTTGTATAGCAAGGTCAATCATCAACAAACGTCTCGTAATAATGGACGAAATAGGACTATACTGTAGTGTTGAATCATCGCTCTTATTTAATCAAGCTAAGCCCGATATCATCTCAACGTTGGAAGGTCTTTCGAACTAGCAAAGAATAGAACCATGTCTAAAAGTTCAACGCATGTGGGCGCTCGGTGAAGTTGCCTCTAAACTGAAATAAAATACCGGTAGATTGGCCGACATAAAGACATCATCTTATAGGGACCGCTCCACAGTGCGTGACCCAAATTCAGACGAAAACAGGAAGTTGGAAAACTCGATAGCTGAGAAGCACCCAGGGACAGACAATAGGCAGGCGGTGGGGCTGAAATGGTCTGTTGAATCCAGATGCTGTCGAACACGTGAACTGGAAAGGTGAAGTGGGATAACAGAACACACACACACACACATGCAATAGTTGTCCGAAATGGGGAGCAAACGCTCTAAACTGTGTTTCATAAGATCAAATCAGCGTAATTAATCCTTTTCCGGGACTGAAGGCTTGAAATGGTTGGGCTTAATCGTTGACGATTTTGTTCCTAATGATGCATGAATTGAAAGTGGTCCTAATACCACAGTCAGGAACGGTAATTTGGGAATCGTGGGGCCAACATAGCGGAGCAAGTCCTGGACTCACCCTTGTCCACTTCTTTCGATGAATATCGTTTACCAATATCGGCGAGCGAGCGAATGAGTGGTATATTGGATGCAGCTCGGGTAGACAACTTCGGGCGATGTCGTTCGTGCAAATGAACGTGACGACGAAGTAGTAGTTCCGTAAGACTTTCCCGAAGATCTGGTGGAACGCGTCCCTCGGATACCAAAATATTGAGTGTAAGATCTGAAAAAAAGAGAATGGCAATGATCAGTTTCGCTACATGTGAAGACAGTAAAAGAGTTTTCAACAACCTTGAGTTTCCTTTCCCGAAGATCTGGTGGAACGCGTCCCTCGGATACCAAAATATTGAGTGTAAGATCTGAAAAAAAGAGAATGGCAATGTTTCGCTACAGGCTCATCAGGTAGACGCAATCTCCGACTTTCCTCCAGCTTGTGATCTACCTGAACCCAAATTGATTTGCCAATGAGTGTATTTCTCAAAAACAGTGCAATTTGGGTTCAAGTAGAACATAAGTTTGACGGAAACCCAAAGACTGCGCCTACCTGATGAGCCCCAAGGAGAGCGAAACCGGTCGTGGGCAGTAAAAGAGTTTTCAACAACCTTGTGAGCAGTTTCCTTTATGAAAAGTAACTTTTCTCTGGATTCATAAACACTCCGGGTGTGTACAAATTACCAATTCTCAGAAACGTAAAACTCTTGTAGACTGTTAGCCTCCAACTCCTTTGGACATGTGTATTCCTATTCAAACGACCCGGCGGTTCTCAACCCTCGGCGAGAGTAATGGTTTCATCACACACCAATTTAAGTCTTACTGCATTGCAATCACATCCAACAAATTCCTAGTTTGTCTTACTTTCTCTCCAAGCCGAACAAACGGACCCAGAGCACCTTAGCGGTCATAAACATGATAATAATTGTCCTGCTGTAATGCCTCTCGATGCGTAGCTTCCCTCCTTCCCGAAGGAAGTATGAGGGATGGCTGTCGAGTTAAGGTTAGGGTAAGGGTCAAGGTTAGGGTCTAGAGAGCAACAGTCAAAATCATCATCCATCATCACTGTCAGCTGTAAGAACCGCGGACTGGTCGTACACTGGTTTTAGCTGTCACAGTTTCGTTCACCGATGATTGGGGGGGTAGGTAGGTGCGCATTGCACGCGCGAGCTGGTAAATTGGTGCATAAATCCAGCACTGTCAGTGGGCTGTCAAGTGAAGCGGGGTTGGAAAAGGAGCTATGCAGTCAAAATGCAGAGGTTGGGTTCGAATTACAGACCTCCCGGTCAGTACGCTCGCCCAAACCCAACTGGACTATCGCAAGCTTATAACACTCAAGAACGACTGAGACCAGATCTATGGAAAGCAACATCGGACAAGAGAAAACAAACCTGCAATCTGTTCCATTGTGAAAGCCTCCAAATTGAGCATCATTACACCGGTTGCAAGACAATTCCGCAATTCAAACAAAGAGAATAGGGGAAGGGTGGCAACATGAGGCTTGGACCAACGTTCTCCGTTCTCTTCAACGTCCTCCTCGAATTTGATCCAGCTGAAGAAAGGGAAACGTGAAAAATGCCAACGTGAATAAATATCAATATAGATCAAATCAGATCCAGACATCCTACGACAGATATTCAGCTAACGGTAAATTTGAAATCTTACAATGGAAGATGCAGCCAAAACCTGCTGCTTGAAAGGATGTACTTGGTTGCGCAAAGTACGGCAGCTTCAGCATGAAAACCAAATGTACCTAAGGAGATCGTCATTCCTAAATTCCTGTATAGGTGCTTGCAATGTCAACATCGTAGCGTTGTTATTACACCAAGGGAATCTGGTTGTCGTGAGGCGGTACTACATACGGGACCTCTGGTCTGCATGGGACTTTCTTGACATGTTTCGATTTTGCCTCTCAAAATGGACAACCTATTGAAAATGATCGACTTTTATCAAACCATCTATCGTCTTCGCAGGGTCACCTTGCACAAGAGACCAGATATCTGCTTTCCTCTCTTGTAAGGGGCTCAATACCCTGTCGGAAATCTGATTAGCACTACACGGCTGCTTCATGCTTGTCTAGAATCGTCAAGAGTGAGCTCCATATTAATATCTCGGTCCAGCATACTTACACAAAGGACACCTTAGTACACCGTGATCCATTGATAGTGAAACGGAAGAGTAAACGGATGGGTGGAGTAGACTTCAGAATAACAGGATGTAACCGCGTAAAACAATGCGAGCCTAAGTGGACCAGCTAAAACAGGGAATAGTGCCATAGCAAGTAACATTTACCGTTGTAACTAGTCCACGATAGAACCCCTTTGAAGTGGTGCTGTCAAACGATTCACATGCGGAAACGCGCCCAACAAGTCCGCATACAAACCGCACCCAGACACGGGTTGGCTCAAATGGAGAGATTTCGCCTGAAGTTGTTTATGCGAGAGGTATGGGAACAATGGTACTTAGGAAAACACGAACATTTCCGAGGGCACTTGGTAAAGGACATGTGTGTGAGTGAGACCCGGTAAGCTAATTGAATATTGAAGACAAACAAATGAATCAGCACAGACATCAATAATGGACACCATACAGTCAACATTTGTTCCTACACGAAATCCGCGCCTCCGCCCCAAACGTACTAATCCGAGAGAACCAGCACTGAAATACAAATGTCGTAGGCTAATCTGCTAATCGTACAGCTGTAGCACCCTTTCGGTGCCTTACTGCCATGCCAACCGAAGGTTGCACGGGGTGTGGGATACTGCCAAGCCTAGACAAGGGAAGTCGAGAGCCGGAGGTCGATTTGGACCACGAACCTTTCCGGTCGGTAAATTCGCGCTCTAACTACTTGGGCCATCTCGCCCTTTGTGAGATACACCACCAGCAAGCTCCCATCAATTTCCTGTTGCTTTTGAACACTAAACTGCATAATTATTTGTAAATCGAAGTCGCGTTGGTAGAAAGCTCAAAGAAATCTCATGTCTATGAACAACGATAACAACCATTCAGCTGTAATGTCCTTTCGGTGAACAGATGCCGGGTAACCCGAAGAAAGCATGAGGACAGAAATACTGCCACGTTGGCCAAGCCTAGACCGGCAGCAGTTGACATGTCGGGGTTAGTTTCGAACAATGAGCTTTCCGGTTGGTGAGTTCCCGCCTGAGCGACTAAACTAACCCGAAATTTCGTCTGTACTTATATCCAAACAAAACAACTCATGATTCAACTAGGACGGGCCAAAATACCGGAGCATTTCGCTTGTTCTGTGGTGGGCTGTGTTAACGGTTTGCATCAATCTTATCGATGTCGTTATATCAAGGAAAACACACCGGGCCCTGGTTACCGTTGCAACGGAAACATAGGATGGGCGGTACATTCAGTTTGAGAGCACCGTAAAAGAGGGCTTCTTTTGACTCTGCCGGTAGCAGAGCGAGTAGTTTGCACCCGAGAAATGAGTGAACTACTTCAGCTGCTAGCAATTTGATATTTGGAAGAGAACTAACATGAATTGCAATATGGATACATGATGAGTCCCAAACAGAAGTCAGCGACGGGCTTTCAAGAAACTCTCATCAAACGCCCCATAGTATTTCTGAAGAAATGTTCTGGTGTCCTTCTGAGAATGGTACATATGATGATCATGTATCTTGTGTTTCACAAGAATTGTTTCCTTATTTGCGCTACGATACCTGTGTCGGGCTTGTTTAGAAAGACCCCTCTTTTTTCATGGAGCTATATTAAGAATGCACTGTCTACAGTAAGTTGTCTTGGAGACGGTTGCTTCCTTCCAGAATGCCGTTGAGCATTGCCCGCAGAACTACGATAATAGACAGAAGGCCTCCATCAGAGTATGGTTTCCTGTCTGGCTCGTCTGCTGACATAACAGGTGATAGTTGAACCAGCTGCACACACACGATTCGGTTAATTATTCTGCGTTCACTGATGGTATACTTGTGTTCAGTTTTCCTACCCCTAGAGGAAAATAGTTTGTGTCAAAATTCGTCAGCAACAACCAATTAAGAAAACCTCGTTTGCTACGCTGAAGAATACTGGTGTAACGGTGATACTACTGGTGGGGATGCATGCGAGTAGTATGTTTTCTTCTTGTAAATTCGCTTTGCGTTTTTTGAAACGGGTGATCTGTTGCGGAATTTGTGGAGTCGCTTTGTAGCATTTGCTTGGATTTGCGCAACAGTCAATGAACATCCAGAAAAGTTCAGAAAGACGCATTCAGAGAGAAGACGGATATTCAGGTTTTGTAAACAAGATGCATATGAGAGTTTTGCTTCCCTGTCCTGAAAATTCCGTGCTTTGTATGATCTTGTCCAGCAACTACCCTGAGTTGCAACGTTTTCGAACGTGTTTTATTTTCATATTCGTTAGGCAGTTTTTCAAATTCTGATTGAAAACACAACATATTCACCGAACCTCGTATTCGTTCAGCTGTAGCACCCTTTCGGTACCTAGCTGCCATGCCACGCGAATGAGGCACGAGTGCTGGGGTACTGTCAGGTCGCCCAAGCCTAGACAGGGGAAGTCGAGAGGCAGAGGTCGGGTTCGAACCACGGTCAGTAAATTCGCGCTCTAACCACTTGGTCCATCTCGCCCCGAATCTCGTATTGGCATCATTTCACTTCGTAAATGAGAATGAACACTGGACAGAAACGAAAATTGCCGTTTCATTTTAACTGGTTTAGTTGTCCGAATTAGCCCAAGAACCGGAGTGCAGATGAGGTCAGAGCAAGAATGCAGTGGGCAAAGGTGGTCAATCGTAATTTTAAGGTCACTTCGTGAGATGTGGTATCGATTACATCCACCGATTACCCCATCTATCACCAGAAAATCAAGACAGTGGATACATACAAGTACACCTGTATTCAAGTCATCTGAAAGTTAGACTGGCATGATTCAGAGGGCTCCGGAGGTTTAAAAACCATCATATACGGTTCATTCTCCAAAGACTGGTGGGGGCTAATGTGTTTAGAGAGTGTATCCGAGGGCATTTGTAAACTTTTCCGTTCGCTCAGTCGTTCGCTGTCACTCCCCCCCCCACCCGTTACTACTAAACTACACTTGTGTTGACGAACGGGTATCTACAGATGGTCGCACAACTCTAATTGGACATCAGTTCCACTCAACCTACCCAGTCAGGCCTGTGCATATTTCCCATACAGTACAGCTGATCAATAGGAAGCTAGTACAACCGGCCAACACACATACAGTGGGGACGTCCCGTAGTTGGGTCAAAGAAGACACGTGCAAGAACAACAGTCGTCGTCTCCGGTCTGACAGAAGCCATGGACAAGCATTGGGAGAGGAACAAAGAACCCTTCATAGAATGGGTGGACCCACGGTCTGACAGACAACACGAAAGGACTACTCAAACGTGCTCTGTTTTACCATGAATAAAGTCAGCAATCTTACCCACAATCAGCAAACGTTATCCAACAAAATAGCAATCATAACCTGCTCAAACTTTAAGGTGAAACAGACTTTTGTAATACATGTCCATCTTCCGTCATTTCGAATAAAGCGATCCCACCCTAATTACCTAACCCAACGAATTGGTAGTTGCGTATCTATGTAAAAAGTACATGTGAGAATATGTCCACTACATCATGTGGTAAAACGAAATGTGGTTAGAAACCTGACCAGAAACAATTGCTCAGACCACAAGCACATGCGATCAACGGATTCGCCGAGTTAACCAATCAAAGAGCTTCTGTGAATACGCTGGTTCGGCAACCCTCATCGACCGATTGATTTCACCGTCTTGAAACGATAGGAAAAAACTGGCTGGCGCGAAGCTGATATTGAACAGCTAGCAATAATTTATCATCTGTACCCCGTGAGTCCGAGATAGCTCATTGTGGTTAAGGCGCGAAATGAACCGACCAGAAGATCCGTGACTCGAAACCAATCTCGGTATCCGCTCCTGTCTAGGGTTTGGCAGCCTGGTAGTATCTCTGACCACGTTCTAATCTGGGGTGGTGCAATAGCTATATACCAAAACGGTATTAGAGCTGTACGATGTGTACCCTGGTAAGGAATGCACAACAAGACAACTATTTACGGGGCATATCGTCTGAACTCCCTCCTACTAAACACTTGTATTATTTGGTATGGAAGTAGAACCATAGCTCGTGTGGGTTGCTTTCGGCGAATCCGTAACGAGGCAATTAGAAAGCGCGTTTTCGGTTGTGCAACGGGTACTTCCGTTGAACAATATGTCCAGAGGAGTATAAAGGAGATCACGAAACGCTTGGGTGCTGTCGGTGTTATTCGCCTCCCAGGATGGGGACCGCGTGTTCCTCAGTGTGCCTGGTTGGAGACTTTACAAGATATGCCTGCCAACCGATGTCAGTGGCGTTCTTGTTGTCAGTTTCTTTCCAGATTACCTGAGTGAATGTCTGGAGGTGTAGGCACCTCGGGGTAATTGTGGTAAACTGTCACTAAGTCCACCTTTATCCTTTTCTTTACAATAAGGCTTTCAAATAAATCAGGTTGTACGGGCAGTGAAGCATCGGTGTTGAACACTGATGTCATGCTGTCGACGATGATGATGATGATGGAAGTTGACGTGGAGCTGTGTTGGGATGGTCAGACACGGTAAGAAAAAAGTTGTCAGTGTGACATCAGTAAGCCGTCAAACACTTGGCAACTTGTTCCCTGACCACCGGAGAGTTCACACCAGCATTACGATTGTCGGCAGTGACAGTAACTAGCGTGAGAACACACCCAGGCACCAAGTCACGGCAGGGTACTTAAAGTCCTCACGGTGTTCGAATCTCCGCACATGTGATGCCAATCGGCTCAAGTGAGAACGAGCCGACTGTTGGGCAGAGTATAGAGATGTTCGTGAAGGCTCGTCCAAGCCCAGGGGTTGACTCAAGTTTGGCTTCTTAAAATAAACCAAGTTTTTGTTAAGGTTATCCGATCAAGGTCTCCTAAATCCCTGACTAATGACCAATGACCTAACGACGCTCGACGGGTCAGTCCGTAAGCTGAATACACCTCAAACGAGTGACGAGGCTGCTAGGCATTACCTCATGCACTGATATAGTCTAGGGATGTGTGCTACCCATTCTACCACAATGTGGGGTCGACGTGATTAACTGGTAACCGCCTACGATCTACCCATACATTCGGCAGCGAAAATTAGTTCGAATAAACGATTAAACACATCATATAATCCGGTGTGCATGTCGTGTTTGCAAACCTCCCGGTAAAAGTAAAATTCAGCTCCATGTTGGGTACGCCACAGGTCTACCTTGCATAGCTGTGAAAATGTGCAAGGTGTGCATTCCAGATGTTCGCGACTTTGAAGTTGGCCAGCATCCGTTAAACCTTAGCAGAGAGTGAAGTTTTTTTTCTCGCAACACTTGATTCCCAGGAATATAGACACTCGTCATAAAACAGGCAGCCTTGGTGTGCCGATTACAGCGCGGCGACAAGCCCTCTAATGTAAACATTCGTACAAAAAAGCGATTGATTGAAGGTGGAAAGGTTCAAAACAGTCCCTGAACTTAATCGTACTCTATAAAAATATATTGATCGCATTTCATAGGTAGCAACTACCGGGGAGATTTCTGAAGCCGGTGCATTCTTCTTCCGGAGAAAGGCACCGCAGAATAAAGTAGCCCTCAAGGAGTCCAGCTTATGGCCAGTGATATCTTCATGGATGCGATTTCTGTGAATCTGGTTATATCACCATCACCAGTGATGAAGTACAGTGTAAATGTCACAGTTGAGCTGACGGTTGGTCAGGAAAGGGTGTGAAAAAGTGCACATTGGAGGCGATAACGCGGTACGTTGAATGGGGCAGGAACACAACGCAGCTGTAGAAAGACACGACTCACTATCCCTTAATTCCATGCATACAGATCAGAAAGGTTACAAGTTGAATCTAGAAAAAGTAAAAATCGTGGTTCGCGGAAGTGCAAAGACACGAGTGGGGATCGCTAGGAACACCGTAATCCGCAAGTGCTTACCTCAAATGGCATATCGAAATTGACTCTGTCTACACACCACTACGAGCAAAGAACCGCCAGTTCAGTGATAACACTAAGACAGACCAGGGCTTTTAAGGAAGACCTGGCTGAGTAGACTCCATCTACCTACCCATGCACGTGCACCGACCACGAACATCCACTAACGACGCACTGATGACGTCAGCTCCACAGGCTGTGAAACGCTTGCGACCAAGTTGTGCAGCTCAGTGAACAAACCAACTGCCATCAGTACAGAGTGAGCTACTAATATGGTAAACGCTGCGTCGGGTAGTGAATGGACGCTTGTGTGTGTGTGTGTGTGTGTGTGTGGTGTGTGTGTGTGTGTGTGTGTGGAAAAATGGCTATCCGTAGAACTTTCCGATACGCTGGCGACGATGAACCAGTAGAAATAAGATAATCAGGATTTCCAGGAGAGCCTCATTTTCCATTTTCACTTCCCACAACCCCTGTATTCTTCTCCTTCTCGAGCTTTCTTCTCGTCGCCTCTCATACACAACATCCAAAGGTGTAAGTGATACGGATAACAGTGAGGATGAGGACAATGCAAAAAAAACCACACGTTGTGTTGTTGATGGGTTGGTTAAAAAGCTCGATACCCAGTGCTTCCAGACTACCTATCTTGAAGTGCTTCTACCTACGTTAATTGACTCTGTTGAAGGAGTTGTCTCATACTGGAAATTCATCACAAATATTAAATAAGATGACATACGGCTCGTTAGTTAAACACATTTGTCATCTGTTGTAAGAGTACTTTTCGAACAAAAATGCTCCACTCTTGATCACAATGGGCACCTTACTTGATAAAATTGTTCCCACCGGTTCACTTTTTTTGTCCACAAGATGCGTTAATGAGGCAAAGCACGTGCTTTTCCATCTACTACCCCGGGGAAACAAAACTTCGCGTAACCCCTCAAAATAACTGCTCTCACCCCTTTGACGAAATATACAATTAGGTGCGAACACACATTCGTTGCTAATCACCATGTTTAGAGTTCAAATTAAAACTATTCGTTTTTGTTTCTGAATACATCAGATGGAGCCATGGGTGCGACAAATTTTGGCCTAGGGTAGAAATTAAATGATAAGTTTATCATTGTGCGCAACGCAACACGTGACGAAAACGTGAGTGAGATTGTTCTCAAGCGAGATTAGGTGTTGCGTCATAAGTAAGCGAGCTTCTGCTTGTCTACGTGAACAAACCATAGCATTGTCCAGGCGGAGTGTAACAAGAACGATGAATAGAACTGTGTATACCGAAAAAAGGAGCCGCAGAACGAGTAAGCTGACGCCAGGCAATGAGTGGCACAGCCCGATCAGGGCATCAAAAAACCGTTCGCGGTAGTTTCAATGACAGAATCTATGACGCTGCACAGATCACCGAAACCGAACAGAAAATGTGTCGCACAAGCGTGTCAATTTCCTTGCAATTGGAACATTTTGGACGCAATAGGTCACACACACACACACACACAGATTGTTTCGCAGTTCACATCTTTTATTGGATGAAACCTGTGCGTAATGGGAACGATACCAATCTCCACACAATCGATTTACGCTGCAGTGGATTCCTTCCGCTGCACAAAAGTCATGTAGTGTGTAGTAAGAACGATTACAAAATGGCAGATATTCGGGAGTTGGGTAGGGGCAAGTGGAAGGAAAATTGCCAATTCACACCCCAGACCCAACTGACCAGAGATTAAAGGTCGAAGTGATTCTCAAGAAAAACGACAGTTTGAGTGAGTCAGTAATTCGCAAAACGGTCTCCAAGGTTGAACACGATATCCTGCTAGTTAACGACCGGAAATGCATAATCCCACGCAGGTCCACTGCATTGGACAGAGTAATGAACTGCAGTGTACGAGTGGTGAACGCCCAGCGGACAAAATGAGGTGTGACTCACCGTGCCGCCTCGCGCCACTCGGTTTCACCGGAACCGGACAGATCGTTCCAAAGTTCGTCGAGTTCACAAAACAGGTGATGTGGTTGCTCTTCATCACCATCGCATTCGCCTAGCAGGAACATCACGTACTCACTTGGATCAGCGGCTGGAAAAAGACAACAGAAGGCGGGTTGTTGATCCATAAAGAACAACTATTTACAACAGCGAGGACCAGGATCTAGAGAAATTGTTTGCTCCCTTGTGGTATTGATCATCAGAGGGTTGAGAGTAAAGCTCTCCAGTGACATAGAGAGGACGAAATCAGAGGATCCTGCTCGTTCTCCGTACAAGGAACACAGTAAATGAAGTGGTCTTCGAAGTGGTTATCCGTCCTTACCTGGACGATTTGTACCCAGGCACAGTTTGTTCCTATTAGCTTCTCTGTGAGTATTTTTTAGCCTACCATTAATAATGCTCATTTTTATGTCTATAGATGCGTGCTAAAGTGCACGACAACGCACTTCTCCAGAAAAAACCGGTTTATTGCATCCATCGGCCTTCGGGGGGAAGCGATTACAAGGACACGAAAGACAACTTCTAAATCCTACAGCAACAAGGAGCGTGGTCAGACTAGCGGACCGATCCAGTGTTTTTTTTCGTAGAGGTTGTATTGGTGTGGATGTGGTGTACCACTGGCCACATTCCAGGTGACCAACCAGCTGCAAGCTTTTCGTATTCAGCATCGCACATGGAAGCATTGCCCAGGTCTCAGGTAACGAAGGATTAGTTTGAAAAGCTGTATCGGTCATAGAGGTACTCTTACTCGGTGATTCTGGAAACCACATGTCCCGAATCTGTTTTTCAACGCATTCAAAGGTAAATGAATTACAGAGTGCCTTCTTCACATGATTTGCGTCGCCTCCTATCGAATATTTAGGGGTACCTTTGGCTAGGACCGTAGGGGTGCCCAGCTTCTAATGTGCCCACAAGGACTATGGTTCATCAGTTTCAAATAAAGACTTGTTGCGAGTGAAATTTTGCCAGGATTATTTAATGGCTTCTCTTCGAAAGAACTTGCAACAGTTGAGACTAACCTCCTCTTGGGACATTTTTTAGAGCGGGACAACTGAAGTAAAGCTCGAAACAACATATAAAGACACTGCGAAATGATGTTTACACTATAACTCTTGGTGAATATCTAAAAATAATGCTAACAATAGTAGTTGTAGCAGCCATTTTGTGCCTAGCTGTTATACCACACAAAGGAAACACGAGGGCTGATATACTGTCAGGCTGCCCCAGTGTAGACAGGGGTGGTGGAGACGTGGGAAGTGGGTTCGAACCACGGACCTTCCGGTCAGTAAGTTCGCACCTTAACCAGTGGGCCATCTTCAGCTCTCCTTCATTTATAACGATCTTCAAATGATTGGGTTGCGCACAGGCCAACCCACTTTTTATTTGGAACTATCAGAGCAGTTTGCTCGGTCTATAGCGCGCTGCTCACTAGTTTGAAACTTGATCGGTGCAACGAAACACCACCAGTGTGGACTTGTCTGTTTTGCAAACGCTACATTTTCATGGACTTCGAAGGCACAATATCATGTTCCAACTCTCGGTTTTGTTCTGCATCGCTGCATGCCTTTAGATTCGTAAGTACAGTAGCTTAATGTGCTACTCTTCCAACAAATCAGCGCCACTTATTACTAAGAAAGCATGCACTGAACTCCGTACTCGACCTGGTTTGGGAAGACAACAGCAAAACGGCTGTTTGATCTCCACAACGTCCATTCACGGTGTTTTGTCCAAAAGCTACATTCCGTCCGGTCTTGTTGACCCACTTAGTAACTCATTATCAAGCAAACCCTTTTGCCACCCTAAAGGAAAGGAAGACATATAAATGGGTCCCAACAGGGGTCAACTATGACCCATTATTTTTTGGCATATTAATTGTGTTCCTAAACAACTAATTCGCCCTAATTGTCTGAATTTCGCTGTTAGGTTTGAACTGTTTAACGCACTGCCAACCACAACCGGGAATTAATGCGCGGGTTTTGCTGTAAATAGCTAGCGTTCCGGTAAAACGCATTTGAGACAGTTAAATGGATGTAATTTTCACCGATGTATCACTAACATCACTTTAGAATGTAAAAACAAAATAAAATATTAACCTGATTGACCATGGTCCCGGCAATAAATAAATCGAACGAAGACAGGTTACCTTATTATATCAAATGTATTTTATATTCCCTCGTAGAAGTGCCTTGACTTCTCATTTCGAAATCAATCAGTTCCTCATGGGCTACGCAAGACATAGGCATCCGTGATATCGCTTGCAAACTAAGAGAGGGGAAATCACATCGACAGTTGAGTGAAGTTTATTCATCACCATCAGCCAGCACGGTGAGAAGAAACTCAACAGTTCATAAAATTTCAAGCGGTTTCAAAATTGGGGAAATCTGAGAGCAGCAAACTCACGAGGGGCGCTCGGATCGGTTTCCCTGTCCTGGCTGGTGACCCGCTTTCGTCTACGACGGTGTCGATGGGATGATGAACCGGCTGAGCTGAGTCCGTGTAGCGTACTAGTGGCTGCTCCACCCTCAGTAGACGGGAGCCCAATAAGCATCGTGGGTTTCGAGCGATGACCTGAGATGCAAGACGGGATAACTTAGTAAACGTCGGATTGATGAAAAAGCTCACACAATGGGTCGATCAGAAGAAGTGACCAAGGAATAAACTTTCAAGTGGAATTTCCCTCCTTCACACCAAAATAGACCGTCCGTTTTGTCGACATGAAAAGTCACTTAATCTACGCAATGGATTCCAAAGGTAAAACCAATTAGGGGTTTGAGCAGGCTTGTATAATTTCTTTTATAGAAACCCCCAAGGACAGACAAAACTCCGCAATAACTAATTGTATTCAATTTGCAGCTGCTGTCACCTAAGATCACTTTCAGTCCATACACTAAATAAAACTTCAAGCCCTCAGAAAAATAGTCCAACTTGTCCATATAGCTCAAGATATCTCAGTGGTTAAGAAACGAACTTACTGAACAGCATGTGCGTAGTTCGAATCCGAACTCTGCACCTTGACTGCTTTTGTCCAGGCCTCGGCAACCCAACAATATTGCAGCCCCCATATTTCCTTCGAGGGGGTGGGGGCATGACAGATAGGCACCCAGCGGGTGATACAGCCGAAAAGTTTGTCCAGATAGGTGGTTTCGATATTTGGCGTATGATAAGGGGCATTGTACAGGTGAGGGAGGCGCTACGGCTTGGCTTCGGGGCGATTGTGAGAGTTTGCCAAAGAACTGTCCTTCTGTCACCTCCCTGTGTGAGCCTTCGAACGCCGCTAATTCGACAACATACTTTTGACACACTGCTTAGGTGCAGCGTTGTGCACCAACTGCAGAATCATGCACACAACCTTAGATCTACCCATCGCTGCATTACGAATGTGACCTTATTAGGGAATCGCTGAGTAGAGGTTAAAAAATCTCGAAATGTACAGTCTTTACAGGCAGTTTAGAAGTGCTCTTCGCAAGCCGTTCACCAAGCACGTGAGAAGTGAAGGACAGACTGATTCGTCGTACCGCATGAGTGTTCAGCTGTAACGTCAGCTATATGAGTCGAACAGGACAGCTGTCCAAATGGATATCTGAGCATCTCCCAGCTAGAGTCCACAATGAACAACACTGTATCATTAATCATTCGATTCTGACCCCCATGCTGGATATCATGTGAATGCTTCAACCACTTTTACAACCATCTGCGAAATATACCGCAGCAGAGACCTTGGTCACCTCATAAACCACTAAAACAAGCATTCGACGCCGTGAACTTTGTGTTCAAAGGCAACTCGTATGCACTGAGGCGCTAATGAGGCCAGCCAGCTAAGTGGCAACATCACGTGACTCTAATATACTGCATTAGTTTTTAACCAACCACGAGTTGACCTCTGGTCAATAGTGTGCAAGAGAAATCAAGAAAGTATCCTTCGCCGATTTGCGTTGTTCTAGATTACATTAGTAAATCTGCCGATTATATCTGTCAGATAAAAACACTTGTAGGTTAACTGCGTCCAGCACAAGGAATCTAATTTTTTCAACGCGTGAATGATAGAAGCGGTATAAACTGACAGCATGCTGCTGCAACGCTGATACAAGGTCAAAACGATTATACGAAAGGGAACCCGGAGAAGAAACAAACTGATTCGCCACCCAAAGTGCACCAAACCGTTCTCAGGGGTGAAAACATAAAACCTGAGTGAAAGCAAGCCACGTAAGAAATTGTCCTATGACAACTTCTTCACGTATTGTATGAACCAAGATGGCACTCTTGCTCCTGAAAAATGGTCGACATTATCTATAACTAGACGACAGATCATGAAATCCGCATCACCACCATTGAAATTATCATTATTATCAATGTCAATAACGATCTAATTGCCATATCTCGTTCGAATTTGGTGAAAGTTTAGAGGCTGCGTGCCCAAAACGTTGGTAGTGCATTGATTTCTCCTTTTTACAAAAAGTTTTGAGCCAAAGCAGTTGTGTGATGGGAAAAGGCGGCCAACGCCAGAAAAGTTAAAGTTGGTCCCCTTGTTGTATGTACATTCCCATTAAAAATGCATCAGTCCTCTGAAGAATGGAGTATCTTTTCAACGAGAGAGGCCGAGGTTTACATTGAACAAACAGTAATCATGAAAGTCGAGTAATTATTGGCACCAAAAACCAACTGCTATTGGTTTGCTGATCCACGTGCACCCACCTGCAAGATCACAGAAACCACAGCCAGGTGGCTGTGCAACTAGATGTAGAGTATCCACATCTGACTTGTACTGTAGGTCTACAAGTAATTAAGGACCAAATTTGTTTTGATGAACTGACCGATACAGCAGCACCAACATCAGAAACGGCAACACTAGTGTTGACACTGCCGCTCCACAAAGTTTATATAATTGTATTTAAAGACCCAGATTGAAAAAAAGGAAACAGAGTGCGTGAGAGAGGGGACCTGGTGTTCGTTTATCGGAAGTATTCTGAGGTGCCTACATCTCCAAGCGCTCAGTCAGACAATCTGGAAAGAAAGTAACACCACTACCTTTACTGACACCGATCAGCTGCCACTTTTCGCAACGTCTCGAGCCAAGAGCAGAAGGGGTCACGTAGACTCCACCCCAGAAGGTTTACTGCCCCCAAAATACCCAGATTCGTAATGCTTTCCACACCATTCTGCAAAGTCATACGCTGTCCAACTTGCAAACCGCTTCGTCCTAAAGGAGGCACAGGCAACAACACTTGCCTTGTTTCGGCATGCGAAGCACATTGCCGCGCCACCAAATTTGATGGTGCTGGGTGTTTTCTGTGCTTGAAGTACTTGCGACATAAATAAATACCCATTATCTAATTACGTTGTTACGAATCCTTCGACGCCGTCCGACACCAGCAACGTGTCTGAGGCATCGGTCGTCAAATCTGTCCGCGGAGACCGTGTCTCACAACCATACAACCATACAATCCTTACTGTAGCCTGGCACACATGACCCTTGATGCCCAGTGACGCCACAATTGACGCAAATTAGCAAGAGAGTTTCTGGCCTTCCAGATTCGTACATGGACTTCACCAAAACAATAGAACACAAAAATGAATACTTCACACTTAGAGGAGACAAAAATATTCCCCTCGATTGTGCGTCATTGCAGCTGGGGTAAAGCATCAAACACCACGAAGTACCCAAAGCACTCTGGTTTATTATGCAGATTAACGTGGAGTTGTCCGTTTTGAAAGGAAGCACCAAATTTACCTAGCTGTAATGCTATTTCTGTACTTGGTGTCCATGTATCGCATACGAAGATCAGCCACCAGAGTTGAACACGATGTACAGGCAAGTTAAAGAATGACTCCACTAGAATTTCCTACACACTATTGCTGTCGATAGTGACGATAACCACCATGGTTCGATCGAGGCAATGATTGGCCAAAGTGTCGATCATGAAGTTATTTCAAACTCTTGTTAGTGTAGTTGTTTGTGTCATTGATTAGTCACCTTAGTTAAGCTGACTAGTTTCAATCACTTTTACGCTAAACGTCTAGATGCAAATAACATTTTAGTAAACAGCAAGTATCTTCATGTGAAACTTGGTGTCATTTAGCAAAAAGGCTACCGGTTATTCTATCACAAGGGACGAAGGAGACTTTCAACGCAGGCAACAACCGCCACCTGCTCCAGCTGATTAGATCAGCTGACCAAAAGAAGACGAAAGTCAACAAGACAATCTGTTAAAAACATAGAACAGCGATTCACTGGCAAAGTCATCGTTTTGAGCAACAAGCTTACCACCTCGAATAACAGTTCAGTTGGCAATCTTCAATAAAACATCTGGAGGAATTTAATTAACCTAAATGAAACACCAATAACAGACCGCTGTTAGCAGCAGAAATTCAGTGGAAAATATCGTTCCCCCAAAGCGACAAGGCACTTGGAGTGGGTGGGCCCGCATACGGCAATCGTCAAAAGTGGAGAAGCAGTCTGACAAATCCACAATGTAGAATTTGGAATAAAATAGAACATTGAAATGAAAAGCCCATACTGTAAACGTAGCCTTCAAAAGTAGCGCAAAAACATAAAAATGGTTATGGCATCAGCCCACATAAGGTGCTTTTTAGTGTCACTATGCGCACGTCGACTGAATCTCCACTCGCAAGAATGAGGGTTTTGTCCTGGTTAAGGATGAACCGACCATATCTTTATCTTGAAGCATGTTCATGAGCAGCGCCACTCATCAACGGCGGACGCTGTAGTCAGTGAGGCTCTTGCATCAAGACTATCACCTTCAACCCGTAGCTGTCCGGTCTGTTTTATCGCAGTACTATATGATAAGAACTAACTGATCATGTATCGCCTCCATCGCTTGGTGATATCTCTCACGCTCTCTCATTTTCCGGTGACCAAACTGTAGAATCTATAACCGACGTATCTCTGGTACATGGTTGATAGCTGATAAACTTACTTAGGCTAAAGGAAGATTAGCCTTCTTATGTGAGGCAGGTTAGCCGCGGAGCCTACAGATTAGGGGATGCAGCGCTGTTAAGCCGTTGGCAGTGAACAGTGCACTGTGATTCAGAGGAATATTTATGTTAACGTTTGTATTTGTTACAACGTTCCACAAACGAAGTGCGTACATGCTGTGTGACGGCTATAGCTACCGTTCTTATTAGAAAAATAATGGAATGGTGTAAGAAGACTTCCGAGCAACGGCTGGAAGCATTAAAGAAAAGTCATTTATAGTAGTAAATGGCTTGAAAAATTCTCCGCTTGAGCACAGTGCGACGCAAATGCCAAAAAACGCGTTGGAAGTATTCACATTTATCGCGGGTGACTTCAGTCTCCCAACATCCTTAAGAAGAACCATGTCGCCAGTGGTCTGGGTTTTTTACATTGGGCACATACATATTGGGCTGATACAGTAGCCAGGTTTCTGAACCCTCTCATGACCAATATGTAGATGCCAAGTCAAGGCCAGTAATGTGTGACAATTATTGAGAAAGGCCGCATTGATCTTACCTGTCCGACGAACTACTTCGTTTGTCGCCCTATAGCGAGGACTGATGCAGCAAGGAGTGTTAAAAAAGATGGCTAAATATATCAGTTTACAAGCATTATGTTTGCGCTTACTCGCCAGCAGTGTTGTTGTAACGCTCTATACTTCACCAGTGTAAACTTCTTTTATTTGGGCTACCTAATATTGGTCAGTCAGTTACGCCGTGTTTCATATCAAAGAAAAACTATCGTTTAGCTGTAAAATCCTCTTCCGCCCTTGCCGCCATGTCACCCGAAGAAAGCACGAGTGAGATACTGCCAGATTGCCTAAGCCTAGATAGAAGGAGTCCCGATGCCAGTTTGGGTTGGAGCCACTGAAGTAATGAAGATCACATAAGAAGATTTTCTTGGAGCTTATCCACTTGTAATTAACTCAAAAGTTTGCTTCACAACGGAAAAGTGTGTAAATGATTCTATCCTGGTCGTATTGAACGACATATGGGTGTCAGGTACGATGTTCAGTGCTGTTGTATTTTACAACACGTTCTTACGGGAAAATCTGCTGCTATTGGCATTTCACTAATAACGATTAGGAAACTCCGGTTACGTCCGTACTATCATTAACTTTCGAGAATGCCGGGCTGAGCGCTTAGAGGTGCTTGTACCTCAGAACCAGGCTTCTTAACAATCCAGTCAGTTTTCTCAGCTCTAGTCTTAAAATAATCGAAAAAACTTTGTGGCCTATGGCACTGAATCATCAGTGCCTGCGTTGATGTCGTCTATTATGGTGATAGTGATGACTTGGCAGAGATCAAATCCTTGAAGTAAGTTAGGTTTCGAAAATTCCATGACATTTATGACTTTGATGGAGTGCGATGGTGACCAGGTGGAAAGCTAAAAGTGCCTTTCCTTGAAGTTATGAAGGAGAGGACGCTATTTTGCCCGGAAAGCACACCCCTCCCATACCCCCACTTCCAAAGAAGACGGTTCGAAACGATGAGGTACGCCAACAAAGGATGACACTTACCCGCGATTTCGTCCTGAGACGGTTCGCTAGCATGGTATCGAGCACCGGAATCTACCACTGGTTCATCGGCGAGTTTAGCATTCTGCGCCATGGTCCACGCCTGTATAAATTTATGTTATCCGCGCACGTGTTAAAACTGGACTCCACGGGGGCTTCCACGGTGAATATGGCTTAATATATGCACATAAGTTAACTGTAATTAACAAAAATTGTCGATGGCCTGACACTCCAAAGAGCTAAACCAGCGCGAAATAGACTAACGAGACCAGTAAATTCATAAACGCGCCAACAAATAAATGGACATCCCAAGGCTGTGAAAGTCAGTTTCAAAGTGCCTCGAACAAACTTACTCCAGTTTTTGCCTCGAATCGACGGCTAGAAAGTCAAGATCGACCAAACTATCGCTTCAGAGTTGCGGCGCCCATTAAGATGTGGAGGCTAACAGATTGGTACATCTTGAAGGGACAGAATGTCCAGCGTTCTCTGGCATCCGCGCTGAAAATTGGTGTCGAATGGTTAAGGTTTCTAAGCTCAGACTCAGTCGACAGTATCAGCTTCGATAGTGAAACCACACAACATAACCCCTGCTATGCCCGTCAGCGGGTTTCTCATTTGGCCCAGACAACGAGGTGGAAGTTGGGAAATGTTCTTTGATGAGAGGCTACACAATGCTTGTTTTGAAATGCGAGCAAAGGTGTAAAACATGCACTACGCTCAAATGGTGGGCTTTCAGTACAGAGCCTTGAGTTTCTTAGGTCGTGATCCTTAGAGGAGATGATTTGTTAATTTAGCTTTCCTTAAACAGATTATATTTGCGCATTAGACATTCCCAAGTGATTTATTCTCATGTGGGAATAGGGTGTCGTATGAAGAACCTGAAAGCAGTGGTTATGAAGAATGTGAGAGCGTGTTAAATAAAGTCTGAAAAATTCTAAATGCAGTTTCATCTTGTTCGTTGACAGGTAACCAATATCTTCTCTCACCCAATTTCCTATCCATGTACGCCATGCTCATTCAAATGTGTTGAGCACTGTTCTCTCAACCTTTGCAATTGTATGACTTGAAAAGACCTTGCCGAAAACATGTTCGTCAACCCATATATGTTCTTATTATAAATGGGTACTTTCGGAATAACATTTTCTTCTATCCTCAGCGAGAAAATCTTTATCAAGTAGCAACATTTGCGCAAAATCGGTTGCGTTTTTCTCTCGTTCAAATTTCTAAAAGAACTTTTCGCTGTGCAATCTATTCACAGACTACAAACGAGTCATTTGTTGAATTTTCCCACCTTAGCACAACATTTACGCGATAACCCCAGTTATTTGACACTCAGTTCCTATTTTGCACCCAGTCTCATTCATGACACCGATGGATACAGGCGGCTCTCTGCAGCCATCGATGGGCCACAATAGATGTGAGCGAAATGGCTGTTCGTCTAACCTAGGATGCGGCATGCATTGCCACACCTGCAAGGTCTGGAAGCACTCTAAATGCGCATTCTTACAGGGAGATTTAGTAAGATAATTGGCTACCTCTCCTGATCCATTTGTCTGCACCCGCTCCCTCTATATTAAGGGTGCAATACATACCACAGCTAAGAAGAGAGCTACCAAAAACGAAACCCAATCCCCATTGCTGAATCGGAAAGACCGGTATGAGTGCTCCGCTTTGATTGAGATACTCGACGCAAAACTAGGGCTTCCTTCTAAAACGCTGGAGGAGACAAACACAAAGAACGCAGGGACCCGGACGAAAGTTGATGAAGAACTTTCTTCGATGAACGTGTACCCATCCATTCCGGCTCCGCTGGCTGTGTGGAAGGTCATCCGGTCCTCTGACGCGGCAATAAATTCTGCCACGGAGTTTCTAGTGGACAGGCGCTTAAGGGTGAGCAGCGTGATCGTCTAGGGGCCATCCTCTAAAAGCTGGCAAAGTCGCTCTTTGGTAGTGTCCTCATTAAGCCTGATCAACAATCGCTTCACGTAGAATGGTTGCGCCAGAAGGGAAGCAACGAACACTTGCGCAGGGACCCGGACGAAAGTTGATGAAGAACTTTCTTCGATGAACGTGTACCCATCCATTCCGGCTCCGCTGGCTGTGTGGAAGGTCATCCGGTCCTCTGACGCGGCAATAAATTCTGCCACGGAGTTTCTAGTGGACAGGCGCTTAAGGGTGAGCAGCGTGATCGTCTAGGGGCCATCCTCTAAAAGCTGGCAAAGTCGCTCTTTGGTAGTGTCCTCATTAAGCCTGATCAACAATCGCTTCACGTAGAATGGTTGCGCCAGAAGGGAAGCAAACGAACACTTGGGCTTCCAGTCACCCTTTCCTCCTCATTTGCCTTACAGAAGATCCTGAAGCAGGCTGTCAGCATACAAAAGGCCTACCCAACGATCAGGCGTCTACCTAAGGATCGTCTTCCAGAGGCGCGAATGCTGGGACACAGCAGGTCTAGGGGAGAGGCGCAAAACAGGCTTCCTCTTGGCGTCATTTCAGCCGACCCCAAACTCATGGCCAAACCGATTGTAGTCATATCCCCTTTTGCTCCCGAGAGAATGCCAGCGCAACTCGCCGCGTCTCCGGAAGGCAGTTTCTACTGAACCAACAGAGATCCCTTGATTACGAAGGGAAGCAAGCCTCTCGTGGAAGAAGCATCCCAAGTACGTAGAGCTATCAGCGCCTCTTCCGTAACAGATGACGAAGGTGCCTCAGTGAACTCCTCACCAAAGTCAAAACTTCCGAGCTGGCCTAAGTCACGTGTTCGGGGACAGATAGCGAAGCTCTGATCTCGGCATCAGGGAATACTACGACAACCGTACGACCACTGAGAATGTTTAACTGCCAATCCCCAGGTTCACTCCGTCAAAAGTGGCCTCTTTGCTTCTGGACAAGGTCGTCCCCAGGACTCCGAGAGCCAAAGCCACAAAGCCGACCACCGCTAACCTTGCTCGTCGCGGACGTTTTGGGTGTCCATACGAACACGAAAGAAGGGCGACTGCAGCCAAAAAAGTCACATAAGTTTCCCAACTCAGACAAAGCCACAAAGCCGACCACCGCTAACCTTGCTCGTCGCGGACGTTTTGGGTGTCCATACGAACACGAAAGAAGGGCGACTGCAGCCAAAAAAGTCACATAAGTTTCGCCAACTCAGAAAACTGTTGGTGGCATTAACGTGCAGTCATCTGGGAAGACAAGCCTCATGGGAGTGCCATCAAAGGAAATACTTCTTCGGTCTGCCGCCCAGCGTTCAAGGCCTCACAGAGGCACCTTTCCGATCAAGCCTCACCAAAACGCCCACGAAAACAAACGGACGAATGTTTATCCAAATCTCTGATCAGCAGCACCTCTGGTCATCCAAAAGGCCCTATTGCAAGAGCTATCAGCAGCAATGGTGTTAATTTTCTCCCACGAGGAAAAACTTCGTCCTTAAGGGCAAAAGGGACCAAGCAAACCAAGCTCTTATGGGGCGAAGAAAACGGGTACATGAAAAGCATCGCCCGAAATCACCAAGACAAGAAGCAGACAGGTATGCCACAGACGCCCTGTGGAGCCTTGAACTCAAAACCCGAAGTACAGTTAGTGGTCCTGCTAGCCTCTATCGTCATATAACTCTCGGCCTCCCACACTCGGAGGCGGCAGAGACAGTGTTGAAACGCTTGTCCAAAAACTGCCCCATCCTGTTCAACAAAAACTGCTATATAAAGCAGTCATTTTGCCTTGAACAGCCATCCATAATCGCACTCACAGAGACCTGGTTCACTCCACATGTCTCGACACAGAGACGTCGATAGACGGTTACTCCATTTTTTGAGCCAACTCAAAACGAGGGAGAGTTCATGGGGTCTGTACTTAAATGGGGCCATGCTTACACCGATCGTCCGCTCCGATACCAGTTCTGCACCCTTTTGAGATGCACAGTGTGTTCAAGCCATGCTGCGCCAGTCTGAATCTTCTTCACCCTGTGGTCTGTCGTTGCCACTCGAGTTCTCCTGTGAATGATCAATTCCTCATACGAAGCCTTGAGCAAACCTTGTCCAACTATCACTTCACTCACCTCCTAGTGATAGGTGACCTCAACGCTCGAAAGGCCCCCTGGCTTGAGCTCGAGCGCGTCGGATCAAGTGGGCTATTTGCGGCGGTGCTGACCGAATTCGTCCGACAGAACGCTTGGACTCAGCATGTCGTTGCACCACCAGATACTGCGAAGTGGGCTATTTGCGGCGGTGCTGACCGAATTCGTCCGACAGAACGCTTGGACTCAGCATGTCGTTGCACCGACCAGATACTGCGCGGGCCAAGTGTCATCCCTCCAGGGACAGAAAGGGGGAACTCACGAGTGACCCAAAAGTGATATCTGAAATTTGCAGAGAACACTACGCGGGTCCATAATCAACACCAGCGTCTTTGCAAAATCCAGTCTTGTCAAGGCGTAAGTATGAACGGCTTCGGAGCATCGTCGCCTCCGAAGGACTCTAATTCTTACTTAGGCCCTCTTTGATCAAGGTTTGGTTAACAAGTTCTTCATTGTTGATCCAACAGATACTTGGCGGGACATGGTAATAAGATTTTCAAGCTCAGAATACACACTAATGTGGCAAAATTATTTTTATTTTGGATAGTAGCTTCATGGAATAACCTTCCCACAGAGGTTGTCCACGTTTCTTCTAGAACCTAGTTCAGGACACTACTGAACACTAATTTATGCGAGTCCTCACGCTGACGTGCATAATGCCCAACCTCAAGAACCAAAAGCGCAGTGCTAAGCCATTCTTCACTTGTGTCATTCAAGTGAACGACAGCCGCTGAACCAAAAAACAAAACCGACCAGTGAAATTCGGGCAAAAGCCTCGATCCTGTGTATCAATCCACGAACATGTTGAACATTCAGATGAGGCGCGGACAACTCATGGGGAAAGGAAACGTGTCCCATTTTACATGGGCGAACCAACGAGGAAAGTAGCCAAGAACCTCGGCAAACTGAGGATTGCTTGAAGCAGGACGCGTGTTATCTCTGCCCCAGAATGAGAAGTTTACTGGGGGTGATTCTGGGATACTTTTTATCTCATTAGCATGTTAGGTGGCTTGTGAGAGGGTATGCCCAGTCCGTGCATATGCCGAGGCGGTATAAGGCTTGGTTATCGACCCCTTGCCCATTTCCGTGTGCTTCTCTTTGTAGTGCCTTTTCCTACAGCACGGCGACATTTATGCCATAATTTCTGTCCCGGTTGGGGAAGGTTTGTCTACAAAATTAGCCCACTTGATCCCGGTAAGGGCGAGA